AGGGGAAGAGGGGAAGGGGAAGGGGAAGGAGTGAAAAATTAGGGTTATGAGTTTTTATATCACCTGATTTTTGAATAATAAAACTTGGTCCCTGAATTTTGAATTCCAATCTTTAAACACATGAATTATTATAATTTCCCTAAAATGAACCACACATTTTTAGGGGTCATGTGGGCCCGCAATCACGAGCCCCAGCCCATATGAGGGGAGTGTTAAATTTGATGTACACATCAAGCATTGTCCCACTTTTTATTTTTCGTGTACAGCTGTCATAACATACTTGGAGGGAGGGTTGTTTTGTTGGACCTTTTACACATGGGCCCACCACTTTGGGAGGTCCACATCCTTACAAATGGGAAAACTGAACATAATTTCCTTCGTCATTAAGTCATTTAACCAAACTTCCTCAACTAAATCTCACCGTTCATCTTGCATCTAAATGTGGTGATAGTGTCTATGCTAAAGCGTCCTAGGACTCCTACTACTGACAATCCAGCACTGGACTATCAAACTGCAGATTCCGAACATGTGCTGAAGAGATCAAAAACTTTCGGAGTATCAGAGGAGGTATATCATATGGCCTTCAATTGTGTTGTTATTTTTGGCTTGCAACTATTTTGTAGTCACTGAACAGGATACATATTGTCATAAAGAATTTGTTGGGTCGGATTGCCACGATAGCTGTGTACAACAAAAACAAACTATGGCTTCTTCCTGATAATTTGGGGGATTGGATATCTGAATCATATTTTTCATACCTTAAATCTGAATAATTTTTTTTACCAGTGGATTAATATTTCAGTTTCCTCCCCTATTTTGAGTTGCACATGTTATTGATTTCTAGTTCATATGGATAATCTCCTCACAGGTCAACAATTTGCCTGTTAACATGTTGCCAGTCACATATCCTGGACAAAGTCATCCTCATGCTTCACAGTCTGCTGATGATGTACCCAAGACTCTGGTGGCAAATCTGAACCAGGGATCTGCTGTGAAGAGCATGGATTTCCATCCAAATCAACAAACTCTACTACTTGGTTAGCTCCCACTTTATTTTAGAAATTTATGACATATATGTTGATGCATTGACCAATTTAAATACACACATATATGCACCCCAAGTTGATATGCTACATACATCTTCAAAAATTTGAAATTTCCTTGTAATATACTGTCAGAATGCTCTGTGTGTGTGTATGACTTGGGGATTTTATAATAATAAATTGTCTTAAAAACACTGTTGATGTTTTGCGTATATAGTGTGCAGTGTTATATAATAAAATATCTCTATTGGTTTCCTTTACATTTCAGTGGGAACAAATATTGGTGACATTACTATATGGGAAGTGAGTAGAAGGGAGAGGGTAGCATTTAAAAATTTCAAGGTTTGGGACCTTGGAGCTTGCTCAATGACTCTGCGGGTATAAGAAGTCTTTATTTGAAAACCCCCTGGACATTATTTTTTATTATTACCGTGGTTAATTTTCTGCCTTTCCAATGTAGGCTTCTTTGGCTAATGAATATACTGCATCAGTGAACCGGGTGATGTGGAGCTCTGATGGAAACCTTTTCGGTACTGTCTAGTGTCTACTAAGTGGTGGAGTCTTAAAATTTTATCAGTCAATTATCCAGTGTGGTTCTTTGATAAGTGCATTTAGTGTTATGTGTGCCAGAGGTTTGATTGCAATCTTTCCTTCGAGAGAGATAAACGAGTCAACCGTGGAAGGCTCAGATAGCACAGAAGTCCTGGTTATCTGTTATGATTGTTATAATTTTGATTCAGGTGTTGCATATTCGAAGCACATTGTTCATATATATGCTTATAATGGCGCTGATGAATTAAGGAATCACCTTGAGGTTTGTGTTGTAGATTCGCCTTCTGCTCCTTGACCTTCTCTGTATATACAAATGAGAATTGCGAGACGAGGTTTGAATTCTCTTGGTGGTTCTTTCAGATTGATGCCCATGTCGGTAGTGTCAATGATGTTGCATTCTCTCATCCAAACAAACAGTTGTGCATCATAACTTGTGGGGAGGACAAGGCAATTAAGGTTTGCGTCCTTCAGTAAATGAGGAGAGATTGATGAATTTGAGTCTGTAAGCAGTGACTCTAAAAGGTTATTTGTGCAGGTGTGGGATGCAGCCACTGGTGCTAGGCAGTACACGTTTGAGGGTCACGAGGCACCTGTTTATTCTGTATGCCCACATTATAAAGAAAACATTCAGGTACAAAGGTTTCCAAAATTTACGAGCTGTAGCATTTGCAAGAATTAAGGATGCGAAGTTATTCAAAAGTGAAGTATGCATAAATGACAAGCACTATTCGATGTTTCGGCAGTACTGCAATTCTAAATTAATATTTTATAGATATTTCATTGATATCTTTAATTTCGAGGGAAAATTGGCATATTACTGGTAGTGATTTTGTTTGCGTCTGATAACCTTCTAGTATTTAATGGATATTTGATTCTGCACAAAAGTGTGCTCAAATTAGAATTAGAGACCACTTTCATCTAATGCTATGTACCAATAGTCTTAAGAAAGAAGAGATTGCAAAATTGATACTGTATCCTCCAGTACCTAATTTTTCAAACGGGTTTAGTTCATTTCTTTTTTCTGTTTGCTACAACCCATTCCTTTTATTTTAAAAAATATTTTATACTTTTGTAGTTCATCTTTTCAACTGCTTTTGATGGGAAGATCAATGCCTGGTTATACGATAATATGGGTTCGAGAGTTGATTACGATGCCCCAGGTCTCTCTTGTACTACAATGGCCTATAGTGCTGATGGGACAAGGTATAGTATTTGCTGTCCTGCCTCCTCTTGGTCTACTTAAAGAGCATGTTTTCCTGTGCTTATTTTGTTAGGAAAAAATGAATTCTTTTATTAATTCATTTTTTAAATGGGGATCAAAGGAAAATAACTTTGGTAACCTTGTTTCACAGCAAAAGAATTAACCTAAGAGTAAGTTAAAACTTACTTTTACGCACAGCCAATTATGCTCCTAATCA